ACAAAACTCAAGTCTAAATGGTTTAAAGACCTCAATATAAATCTGAACATGCTGAACCTGATAGAAGAGAAAGTGGGAAGCAGTCTACAACACATGGGCACAGGAGACCACGTCCTACATAGAACATCAGTAGCTCAGACAATAAGAGCAACAATGAATAAATGGGACCTCCTGAAACTGAGAAGCTTTTGTAACGCAAAGGACACTGTCATTAAAACAAAAAGGCAACCTACTGAATGGGAGATCTTCATCAATCCTGCATCAGACAAAAGGTCTGATCTCCAAAATATATAAAGAACTCAAGAAACTAGACATTAAAACTCTAATTAACTCAGTTAAAACATGGGGTACTGATCTGAACAGAAGTTCTTCTTAACAGAAGAAGGTCAAATGGCCAAAAGACACTTAAGGTCATGTTCAGTCTCTTTAGTGATCAAGGAAATGCAAATCAAAACAACTTTGATTTACCATCCTACACCTGTCAGAATAGCTACAATCAAAAACACCAAGATAGCCTATCCTAGAGAGGATGTGGAGTAATGGGAACACTCATCCATTGCTGGTGGGAATGCCAACTTGTGCAACCACTTTGGAAATCAGTGTGGCAGTTTCTCAGGAAACTGGGAGTCAACCTACCTTAGGATCTAGCAATTCCACTCTTGGAAATATACCCAAGAGATGACCAATGATACTACAAAAGCATTTGTCCAACTATGTTCATAGCAGCACTATTTGTAATAGCCAGAACCTGGAAACAACTTAGGTGCTCCTCAATAGAAGAATGGATAAAGAAGGTGTGGAACATATACACTTTAGAGTTTTACTCAGCGGTAAAAAACAATGACTTCTTGAATTTTGCATGCAAATGGATGGAAATAGAAAATGCTTTACTGAGTGAGGTAATCCAGACCCAAAAAGAGGAATATGGTATGTACTCACTCATAAGTGGATTCTAGCCATACATAAAGGACATTGAGCCTATAATTTGTGATGCTAGAGAAGCTAAATAAGAAGGTGAACCCAAAGAAAACCATATAGTTATCCTCCTGGATATTGGAAGTAGATAAGATTGCCAGGCAAAGTTGGGTGCACATGGGTGAGAGGGGGTGGATAAGTGGAGATGGATAGAGAGAAGGGAGAAGGGGAGGATTCTGGAGAGCTTGGGGAAAAGGGATGGGTGGGATGGAGGAAGAGTGAATATGGGAGCAGGGAAGTAAATATCTTAATTAAGGGAGCCATTTTAAGGTTTGCAAGAGACTTGATTCTAGAGGGGTTCACAGGCCCAAGAAGAGGTCCCCAGATTGTTCCTTGGGCAGCAGAGGAGAGGGTGCCTGAACTGGCCTTGTCCTATAGTCACAGTGATCTTGCATGTTGCCATAGAAACTTTATCTGGCAATGGATGGAGATAGAAACAGAGACCCACATTGGAGCACTGGACTGAGCTCCCAAGGTCCAAAAGAGGAGCTGAAGGAGGGAGAACATGAACAAGGAAGTCGGGACCACGAGGGGTGCCCCCACTCGCTGAAATAATGGGGCTGATCTAATGGGAGCTCACCAAGGCCAGCTGGACTGGGACTGATGGAGCATGTGGTCAAACCGGAGTCTCTGAACGTGGCTGACAAGTAGGGCTGACTGAGAAGTCAAGGACAATGGCACTGGGTTTTGATTCTACTGCATGGACTGGTTTGGTGGCAGCCTAGTCTGTTTGGATGCTCACCTTCCTAGGCCTGGATGGAATGGGGAGGAACTTGGACTTCCCATGGGGCAGGGAACCCTGACTACTCTTTGGACTGGAGAGGGAGGGAGAGGGGGAATGGAGGGAGGGGGATGGAAATGAGTGGAGGGGAGGAGGTGGAGAATTTTAATGAAAAAAATTTAAAACATTATCCCATTTAGTAAGTTCTCTAGAACACGCTAGACGTGAGTCATAGGGAAGCCCATAAATATATGATCTCTCCATCTTAGTAAAACTAACCATACGTTCTCAAGTGAAGGTGCAATTACTAATGAATCCATTTAGTGAATAGATGAAATAAGGACCAAGAATATCACAAAACTCTGTTACTCCTGTTCTCACCAATGATCACTGTTGGGAAGGGATAAATGGCATGAATTGGGATGTAAGTATCTGTAAATATTCAGGATATCTAATATGCAGTCCCTGTAAAAGCGTCTTCACAACACCAAGGGAGTCACATCCCACACCTTGAGAACCATTGATCAAATGCTTATTTTCAAGATTTATTTTTTAGTTACAGTTATGTGTGTCTGTGTCTGCATTAAAATGAATATAGTCAACTCCACAGTCCAAAGGAATATGATCCTTTTTAATTAGAGTTGTCTCAGCACTGTCTGAAGTACGTGCTGGCAAGAGCTCATCAGTTTATTTGCAAGAATGACATGTACACTGAAATGATCAAGTATGTCTCCAAAATTATTTCTATTTGTTTAAATAGTCCCAGAAACTTCAACAAAATGGTTGCCTAAAAAAGATGTTCACAATGACAACACTGGTTGACAGTCCAAAGCATAATTGAACACAACTCAGATATCAAAAGAGCATGGAAGCTCACTGGCAAAATAAATATTTACATAACATCTCTTCATCTAAGGTCAAGGAACTCCACACCAAAGGGATTGGGCAAAGATAATATAACTGTCAAAATATGAGGAATTTGACTGAAACATTGTCATCTAAAATGACATATTAATAGGAGAAAGAAAAATTTTCACATTTTCCTGTCACTAACACAAAGAATTATACCTACTGAATGCCAGAAGAAAATTACTGACATTTGGGGATGAACACTCTTAATGTTTCTCAAATAGAGCAGAGTAGTCAGATTAAAATCATGTACACAAAAATAAAGTCACAGTTATGTCAGCATTAAAAATTAACAATAAAAGAAAAATACCATCTACTTGAGTGTGTAAGGCATAGACTTATGTAACATTAGGTTGGGCACCATTCTGTAACATGAGGGCCTGCTTGTTGGGGTTTATGTCCTGCCCAGTTCCCCACAGCCAGCAAACCCCAAAGAAAATCACACAGAGATCTCCATAATTAAAAAATTGATTGGCCCATTTTATATTAACCCATTATTCTTATCTATGTTAGCCACATGGCTTGGTACCTTTCTCAGCGGGGCAGTTCACATCTTGCTTCTTTGGTGATTTGGGCAGAACTGCGGAGGGAGCTTCCTGCTTCTCAGAATACTCCTGTTCTCATCACCCTGCTTCTACTTCCTGTCTGGTTGACTCACCTATACTTCCTTCCTGGCCAATCAGCATTTATTTAAAACGTGATTGACAGAATACAGACAATTCTCCCACACCAGACTTAAGTAATGGTATCTGAGTAGGGACCAAAGGAAAAGATGAGTGGGATAGTGATATAATTTTATTTTAATTGAAACATATCAAAATAAGAAAAAAATAACATTAAAAAATACAGATCTTTTAGTAAGGGTTACTTCTGAAACCACAAAACAGAATTTACAATTTAAAATAAAGAAAATGAACAGTTGCTTTCAAGAAGCTCAAAGATGTTTCTACTGGAGGTTATCTGTGCAAGTGTGTTGAGATGTTAACAACTCCCATATTGGCGATACAAAATAAAGTTTCCCCTAAAGGCTTCAGTGTCAGTCTAAAAAAATAATTCTTGCTCACGTAAAGTGTGAGGTATTCACTTATTGCTTGTTTCTTAATTGTACTGAACCAACTTTTATAATGTCTACAGATCTGTCTGTCTTAGTATTTGTACGCGAGCCTTCTATTATTTCTGTCCTGTTTATGCTGATTTTATTTCTACAACTGAGTTGGGTGCTGACAAACTAATTTCTTTCCTATTTTTGGGTAGTTTCTAGATGTACATATACATACCATGTTGTCAAGTTGCATGGTAGAGCTTTTAAAATTTGACTTGTAGGCATTTCTTCCATAATCAATATTGTAAAGGAAGGTAAGAGATGAGGCTTGACTAACCATTAATAATGTGGTTTATTCCAGTATCAACTTTCAGATGAGTCTAAACTTTTCTCGCTAGGTTTGAACAACTGCTGCACATTTCTAGGGGTGCTCCAGTGTGGAGTTTACAAGGTACCATGAACAAATTATCTTACAAATGATGGACGGTTAAAAGCTTTCTCTCTAATACCAATTTTCTCATGTGTTTCAACTTTTGAAGAACTATTAGTGAGGTCAGCTCATGTTGCATGATAGACCTTTCCTGGGAAGATGCAACACACACTTTCATCTAATCTCCCCAAATGGGGACTAGCAACAGAATCAAAACTTAATGACACTGAATTCCATCTTAATGAATCTATAAGGCCTAGATGTGTTACTTTCAGGATTATGGCAAATGTGCTGCTTAAAAGAGGGAAACAGACTAGAAAGCAGTGGCCACCAGGAAGCTCCACCCATCATAAGATACAGCCTAAGAACTCTAGATACCCAGAACACACTGCCTACAACCTGTACAGGCATATCTGCAGGTTGGAGTGCATCCATTCATTCCTGATGGTTTAGTTCTTCAAAGCCAGTTTTAAGTATCATTACTGGTCTCTGTTTCTTCAGAGGAGTAAATTCTGAATTCTGTCAGGTTCCTATATTCTGAAATGATTTAGAAATACTTCTTTCCTAATTAATAAGCTTCTATTCAGGATGTAATGATTCAGTGTAACATGAGGGACCAGCTTGTTGGGGTTTCTGTCCCACCCGGTACCCCATAGCCGGCATACCCCAAGGAAAATCACACACAGGACTCCATAAGATTATAAAGTGATTGGCCCATTAGGACAGGCTTCTTATTAGTCCTTGTAACTTATATTAATTCATTATCATTATCTATGTTAGCCGCATGGCTCAGTACCTTTCTCAGCTGGGCAGCTTATATCTTTCCTCTCCGGTGGTCTGGGCAGAACTGTGGAGGGAGCTTCCTGCTTTCCAGAATACTCCCAGTCTCTTTGCTCCACCTCTACTTCCTGTCTGGCTTTCCCGCCTATACTGCCTGCCTGGCCAATCAGCGTTTTATTAAAATATGATTGACAGAATACTGACAATTCTCCCACACCATTTCAGCATCCAAGGAACTGGTGCACCAAAGCACATATTCAAAGGCATCTTGATTTTTCATTGTTATGTAAATTTGAGGTTGATAAAGTAAAATACCTTATTGAAAATTTCTTACCTGGTCACATTATCAGAATTTTTCCTTAGGATAAACTGCCAATAACATTTCTACACTTGAAGTCTTTCAGAAATTTCAGATGTCATAAAGTTTCTCTTGTATGGATTGGATGTGCAGTGATCTCTGAGAACAGACTTTTGGATTAAGCTATATGTCACATTATTTACTATGTAAACTTTTTTCTCCAGTATGATTTTTTTCAAGTATTCTTACAAGTGAAATGCAGATAGAGACTCAGCCAAATTCATTACATTAACATTTTTCTCTCCTTTATGTATTCTCTGATGTTTTATAAGATTTAAACACTCAGTAAAACCTATTTCACATTCTCTGCATTTCTAAGGTTTCTCTCTCGTGTGGATTTTCTGATGTCTTTTAAGATGAGAAGAACGTGTAAAAGCTTTCTCACATTCGCTACATTGATGAGGTTTCTTTCCTGCATGGATTCTCTGATGTTGTGTAAGATTTGAACACTGTGTGAAGGATTTCTCGCATTCATTACATTTGTAAGGTTTGTGTCCCGTGTGAATTCTCTGATGAACTCTAAAGTAAGAGGCACATTTGAAGGATTTGTCACATTCACTGCATTTGTAAGGTTGATGTTCTGTATGAGTTTTCTGATGATGTCTAAGATTAGAGATGCTCACAAAGGATTTGTCACATTCACTACATTTGTAAGGTCTCTCCCCCGTGTGAACTCTCTGATGGACTCTAAGAAAACAGGCATGTGTAAAGGATTTATCACAATCCCTGCATTTGAAACCTTTCTCTCCTCTGTGAATTAACCGATGTTGTCTACGATGTGAGACACATGTGAAGGATTTCTCACAAACACTACACTTGCAAACTTTCTGCCTTGTATGAGCGAGCTGATGTTTCCTAAGATTTGAAGCCTGTGTAAAGGATTTCTGGCACTCACTGCATTTGTAAGGTGTCTCTCCTGTATGGCTTCTCTGATGTACTTTAAAATGAGAAGCAAACATAAAGCATTTCTCACATTCACTGCACTTGTAAAGCTTCTCTCCTGTGTGGATTCTCTCATGCGCTTGGAGATGATAGGCACATTTAAAAGATTTCTCACATGTATTGCATTTGTAAGTTTTTTGTTTCATACATACTCTCTGATGTGCCCCAAGTTTGCTTTTCTGAATAAAACATTTTCCACATTCACTACATTTGTAAGGTCCCTCTCCACGGTGGGTTTTACAGTGGCTTTTATCCTGACACTCACCACATTCTGTACATTGATAGCACTTCTTTCCAGAATGTCCATCACGTCTGCTGAAACTCAAATATGACACGAAGCATTTTCCACAGTTTTTGCATTGGTGTGTTTTAGAGTCAGATGATTTACCACAGTCTGTAATTTTGTGTTGTTCCTCTCTAGTGTGACTTCTTTGACTAATGACGGAACACACTTTTAACCATTTCTTACAGTCTTTATACTTGAGAAGTTCTTCACCAGTATTCCCACGTTCGTCACTCTTTAGGACTGTAGAACAGGCAGAGGCTTCCCTCTGGTCACAACAGCCATACTGGTTGCAGTTCTTTGTAAGATCACTTGTGTTATAAGGTGTACACTGGACAATTTTATCAGCCGTTTTCCCAATCCCATTACATTTATGTGACTTCTCTTGGCTACTCAAGACTTTGACACGTTCACCACACTGATATTTTTCTGGAAAATGAGCACAGACAAAGTTCATAGGGGTTGAGGATGTTGTTGACACACTGGAGAAGTGGTGTCTCCTTCCGTTCTCTAGGACAAGTAACCCTGGAATTCTTAGAAACAGAGCTCTCGGCATACGTATTTGCATTTTACCATGATTACACGAAAGCTCAGAAGAACCATTCTAACCCATCAAACTGTAAAGACTGTTGGTATTCTTCTCACTCCTATATAAAATGTAAACCTTATAGAAGTAGGGAAAAATAAGTAAAGAATGTGCTAGGTAACCCAGGCTGGTCAGAAACTCATGACATCCTCTTGCCTCAGCATCCATATTGCTAGGATTAAAGTCATGCTGTCCTGTGCTAACATGACTTATTGTACAGATGAAAACTCAAAAATAGATATAGAAAAAAATGAAATGAATAAGAACCACAGAATCCACAACAGAAATAATTTTCTCTGTTTTAAAATGTTTTCTAAAATTCAGAAATAAATGAAATTTAATCTGATATTAATATTAATACATTCCAATCACTACATATAATATAATGCACTTTCTTGCTTTGAATATCCAACTTTTTTGAACTCTGAAGTTTTCATTGACTAATAGAAGACTCAAGAAATGACTCACTATATGGAATCGGTTGCTTTTTCAGAGAACAAAGAATATAACAAAGGAAAAACACTGAAAGTTACATTTACTGCCATAAATTCCTCTATCTCTTGTAGTCTCCATACTGTTCAAAGAATTTGCATACATACAAAGAATTTAAATAGTAAGGATGAGTAAGATATTCCACAAGAAGAGACTTCTTACCTACAAAAACCAGATTGCTATAATTCTCCATCATCACATCAATGCAAAAGGCCCTCCAGGAGGACTCCAGACATTCCCATTCCTCCTGAGAAAAGTCCACAGCCACATCTCTGAATGTCAACAGACCCTGTAAGGGAAATTACCCATTGACCATGTGCTGCTAAAGAAAATGCTTTCATAAGAAAACAACTTCAGTAATTATAGATATTTTGTGATATAAATGACCCATGCCAATTATTTCCATAGGTGGTAAAAATGGTCCAGCAGATAAGATTTGCTTTCCTAGAGATAAACAATTCACATTCCAGTATATACATGACATAACAGAACTGATACTGAGTGAAGTTTCATTTGATTGGGATGATTTGGAAGAAAATGGCCCCCATAAGGAATTACACTATTATGATAGCTGACTTTGATACTGTGTGTGTGGCCTTTTATGATGATGTGTGTCACTGTGGGTGTGGACTTTGGGGTCTCCTATGCTCCAGCTATGCTCTGAAT